TGCCTCAGCCTTCCTAGTAGCTGGGACTACAGGTGCCCGCCACCACGCCTGGCTAACGTTTGTATTTTTAGTAGAGACAGGATTTCGGCATGTTGGCCAGGCTGTCTTGAACTCCTGACCTCAGATGATCCGCCTGCCTCAGCCTCCCAAAGTGCTGGGATTACAGGTGTGAGCCACCGCGCCTGGCCCCGCCTCAGCCTTTTGAGTAGCTGAGATAACGGGTGTGCACCACCATGCCCGGTCCCTGCTCTAATATTAGAGTTTTGACCCTTCTCTCATACTGCTTGTGAGTGACGCCAATCCTCTTATGATTGTTGGATGGGATTTTTTTTTTCTTTCGGGGATTATGTTAGCTGGAACTTTGGGTTGCAAGAAACAGAAACAGCTCAATTTGGCTGAAACAAAAATAGGGTATGTTTTGGTATCCTGACTGAAATGTGGAGAGCCAGGGATGCTGCTGCCTCCAGCTCTGTGCCCCCACTCCCGGCTCCTCTCCGAGAGGCGGCATGCGCACTACCCAGCACCTGTGGAGTGAAGCAGGCACCCTGTTCTGGTGGTGTCTGGGGAAGCCCTGGGATGAACTGTAGTTAGCTTGCTTTGAATCACTTCTCTACATGAAGTCAGAGTTGTGTCATCCACGGGAAGGGGAAGGAGTGCATGGCAGGCAAAGCAGCATCCGTAGCATCTCCTCCTGCGTTGTCCCACATTGATACATGCTCAGTGTTGATGCTGGGATGGGACCTCCCTGACTCCACAAGTTCTCCCACTGCCCACCACTCCACCAGGCGATGTCATCTGTCCCTGCCGTGGTACGGGTCATTTCAGCCGGTTCTCAATAAGACTCAGGGTCCGGCCAGCCTGTGACTGAATGTTACCTTGAATCCTCTCAGCACCCTTCCTAGTCAGGAGGGGAGATAACTGCCATTAAGAATAGCTGTTTGGAAAGGGGGTGTTGAGCTGATGCTCCTGGTCAGCCCATTCTACGTGGGCACAGCAGGATGAGTTGCGCTGCGGCTGCGGCCTTATACAACCCCCTGCTGCAGGAGGTGGCCTGCGGTGGCTCAGGACTGATCAGACTCCGCCATCTTTGGTTTGCCAACATGGGGTTTTAGAACCCAGCAGGTATTGGGCCTCTTGTGCTGGGTCAGCACCCCAGGCCACAAGCAGAAGTCAGCTAGCCAGTGTGGGCCTGACGTCCTGAATGGGTGGGTGCTGTGCGTCCTTCTGGATCCCAGTTTGTGGCCTCCCTGTGGTCTGGCTCTTTGTGATGGGGTCACCCTGTCTTTGTCAGGCCTGGGCTGTTGCTCTCCTTTCCTGGCACTGTGTCAGCTCAGCCCCCACAAAAGGGGCCTGTTGGCAAAGGGGTGTTTTCCTTTTCTGTCTTCAGAAGCCAGCAGCGTCTGAAACTTGCCTCTGTCTGGTGGGACCTCACTAACATCTTCCCATGTCCTGATCCTTCCACCTTTTAACCAAGTCTCCTCAGGGTCTGGCCTCAGAGAACAGGGTTGTTGGGGTGGTTTATGCAGCTCCTTTACTCTGTGATGCAGCAGGGCTGGGGCTGCCCACACTTGCCTCTGAGTAGCCAGTGCTCGCTCCAGGGCCTGTTCTGTACAACACGTGTACAGATGGACGTAGGGCAGCTCCCGGCATGGAAGGGGAGGTGGACCGACGGGGCAGTAATGGGCACCTCTGCAGGTCAAGGGCAAGGAGAGGGGCTGCCTTGCTTTGCGCAGGGGCCTGACCTGGGCCCTGCCTCCTGCCTACTGTGTGCCTATCAGTCCCAGGTGCTGGGGACAGGGTGACAGATGAGGCGGTGCTTATGGGTGAGTGGGAAGACGAGACACAATATTTACTGTCAGGTGGTGAAAAGCACATGCAGCAGGGATGCGCCAGAGGAGACTGGAATTCGGGCCGGGTGTCCTGGGCAGGATGGCATTCTCTGGACTCATCACATCACCCGCCGTGTGCTGGCCCCATTTGGCCAGAGTGCACTGAAGTGTCTGCTTCTTTCTTTAAGGGAGCAAAGCTTGTATTGGCTTGCAATTCAGCAGCTGCCTACAGACCCTATAGAAGAACAGTTTCCTGTCCTAAATGTGACCCGGTACTATAATGCCAATGGGGATGTAGTGGAAGAGGAGGAGAATTCTTGCACCTACTACGAGTGCCACTACCCTCCCTGCACGGTGATTGAGAAGCAGGTGGGTGTGCTGCAGTGCGGCCTGGTCCTTGGCACCTCTACCCTGTAGCCCAGCCTTGGTTTGGGGTCTTGCCCTCCCACCGCAGGGCCCCATTCCCCGGAGACCACTTGGGCTTTTCCACCAGGGTGGTCTCCCTTTGCCCTTTTGCTGGCCTGACCAGGGCCCAGGCCCTCCAGCCTTGGTACATGGTGTTTTGCTGGGTCCGTCAGATTGTCCGTGCGATGCAGTCTTTGCCCCACACTGCATCCCGGGCATGATGGTGAAGCCACAAGTGTTCTGTATTTCAGCTCCGGGAGTTCAACATCTGTGGGCGCTGCCAGGTGGCCCGGTACTGTGGCTCCCAGTGCCAGCAGAAGGACTGGCCAGCCCACAAGAAGCACTGTCGGGAGAGGAAGCGTCCCTTCCAGCATGAGCTTGAGCCAGAGCGATGACGGGCGGGAGAGCCGCACACACTCGCAGCCCCCGGGCTCTACCCTGGGCACAGCAGAGACAGACTGGTGGTTGAACCTGGAGGTGCCGAAAAAGCCAGCTGCGGGCCCAGGACAACCGCTGTGAGACTCCCGATGTCACAGGCAGTCTGTGTGGTTATAGCGCCCCTCAGTGTTCATCTCCAGCAGAGACAACGAAGGAGGCTCCCACCAGGACGGTTCTCATTATTTATATGTTAATATGTTTGTAAACTCATGTACAGTTTTTTTTGGGGGGAGGCAATGGGAAGGGTAGAAATTACAAATAGAATCATTTGCTGTAATCCTCGAATGGCAAACGGTCAGGCCACGTGTCTAAAAACTGTCCTGTAGCTGAAGCTTCTCCCCTGGGCCACGGGAGCCCCATGGAGCGCGGCCTGCACAGGAGTTGTGTCCACAAAGGCAAAGTAAAGGGGTGGAATCATCCGGCGTCTCGGACATTCTCTGCTCTGCCTCCCTCTTGTGCTGCTGAGGGTGAGGTCATCTTGAGTGGAGCCGAATCCCTGTGGGTGAGGGCAGGAGGACGTGCCCTTGCTCCTGGTGGGCCCTTCTGAGGAGCAGGTGAACTCAAAACTTCCTGAGTCCAGCAGTGAGCGTGAGTGAGACTCTGTCCTTGTCTTGTGGCAGGACTGGTGCAGGTGCTAAGTCAGCTGCCCACTGGTTCATTGGGAGTGGGATGCTCTAGCCCCTGACATTGGTTAGTTCTTGCCTGATTTATGCGTGAAGTGGCTGGCAGCTCAGCAGTGACAGCTTCTGCCCAGAAGAATCCACAGGGCATGTTCAGCAGGCCTGCTGCCGACAGTGGAGGGGGCTGGCCAGCCAGGGTCAGGTGAGGGCCTCACTTCTCCATCCCTCTGTAGGGCTGTGGCTTCCAGGATAGCCCTCCCTCCTTGGGGAGCCCCAGGTGTCTGGGGCTGGTCAGCATCTTGTACCCATAGAGCCGCCCCAGGGAAACATGCCAGGCTGTGTGGCTGGGATCCTGCCTGTCTCCAGGTGCGCCCAGCCAGAGGCCTTGCTTCTTGGGAGCTGAAAGCCTGGCCAGTCCGACTCTGACCTGTCTGGTCTGGTCCGGTCCAACCCTGTGTTGGTCCCGCAGGTTCCTGTTACACTTTCCCCTCTTGGAGCTCCACTGCCACGTTCCAGGACGCCCTGTGTGTTCTCATTGCTGTTCCTGGCTGGGCTGGCCTTTTGTCTGTAAGCAGAACTTCCAGTAGCTTCTCTGGCAGTACCCTGGAGGCTCCTGAAGAACAGGCCTGCTGAAAGTGGGTGATAGCAACAAACTCTGCAGGATTTCCTGGAGTTTAGAGAACTGCATGTGCCCACATCAGGCCCTGAGAAGCCCTCTTTGCTGCTGTGAAGGTCGGGGACATTTTTTGCTGAGTAGGTGAAAGCTGTCGGGGAGGGGGACATATGTGTCCCTAGAGATGGTGGGTCAGCAGGTTAGGGTTTGGGGTAGTCTTCAGGCCTGGAGCCCTGAGTGCCTTCAGGCAGCTGCTTTCAGATGGAGTCTTGAGGATAGGCACGGTGTGCGGGGGCCCCTTTGCCTGCATCTAGGGAAGTGGCCATGTTATCCCCTGACCAGCAGGGCTGCCTTGTTTGGCAGTCAGTTATTCATCAGAAAAATGCACCGGAAGAAGCGCCCAGGGCCTCCCACCTGTGAGACACCATGCTGGGGAAGGGGCGGTGCAGGTTCTAGGTTTGCATGTGGCAGCTCCTCTAGGCCTCACCCCAGCAGGTGGCACCGTGAGGGTGGGATGGGCCCCACCACTGCTTCCCTCTCATCTGATACCCAGTCCTCTGGTCATCTCCCCTTCTGTGGCCCCGACTTCCTGGTCTTCGTAGCCAGGTATCTAAGACACTCTATGAGGACATCCAGATGGCTGCATTGTGGGGCTGCTTCTATGAAGCTTGTTTGGAGCATGGTGCGTTGGGATGTTTCACCTGGCCACTCTCCCTCCCACGTAGATGTGTGTGGTTGAGGCCCTTTTGGAACGCCCTGCTGCCTTCCTGGCCAGCCTTTTCTGCGCCTCTGTCTCCGCTGCGGTCTGAGCTGTTGGCTCCCTGCCATGTCTTTAGCCACAGCCCTGCTTGAAGCCCTGAGGCTGAATACCCAGGCACCCGTATATTTCAGTCAAGTCCGTCTTAGCTTCCCGGAGCTGCCACAACAAAGCGGCATGAGCTGTGCAGCCTGAAGCAGCAGGAATTCATGCTCTAGGTTCTGGAGGCTGAAGTCTCAGATGAAGGCGCAGGCAAGGGCCCTCAGATGCGGACGCCTCCTCCCAGCCAGGGGCCTGGCCTGCCTCCCTGTGGTCTGCACAGCGATGGCCCTGCAAGTCTTCTGCATCAGCTTTCCCTTCGGCGGACTCCAGCTTCTCTGGGTCAGGACCTACGGCGTGACCTCATTTTAACCCAGCTGCTTCTGAGAGCCCCTGTTTGCTAATGAGGATGCGCTCTGAGGTGCTGGGGTCTTCAGTCCATTGTTTTTTGGGGGCACAGTTGAACCTGTAAGGGCCCGAGGGGTTCTTCCTGCCCTGCACACATTCAGACCATGGATTGCAGTAAAGAAATAAAGTTTAGGGCCGGATGCAGTGGCTCACGCCTGTAATCCCAGCACTTTGGGAGGCCGAGGCGGGTGGATCACAAGGTCAGAAGGTCGAGACCATCCTGGCTAACACGGTGAAACCCCGTCTCTACTAAAAATACGAAAAATCGCTGGGCATCGTGACACATGCCCGTAATCCCAGCTACTCAGGAGGCTGAGGCAGGAGAACGGCTTAAACCCGGGAGGCGGAGCTTGCAGTGAACTGAGATTGCGCCACTGCACTCCAGCCTGGGGGGACAGCGAGACTCCGTCTCAAAAAATAAAAATTAATAGGCACGGGCCGGCCACGCCACGTGGGAGATGGAGTTCGTCCTCAGATCATCTTGTCCAAAGCTCCGAGGTTAGGGGTATTTTCAAAGGCAGTTTTGGGGGAGGGGGGCGGCGGCCAGGCGACTGGTGCTGATGACCACGTCCACCTGCTGAGCCGCTCCTGGGGGGCCCCGATGCAGCCACGGCTGTCAGACAAGCAAAGACCCTGGAAGGCGGGCTCCGAGGGGCAGCTCCGCCATGGCGGGTTCGCAGGAGGCAGGCAGGGTGCGCCTGCGGCCGCGGGGTGCTGGGCTTCGTGCGGCGCGGGCTCCTCCTCAGCTTGACGAAGGCGTTGACTCCCGGGCA